ACGGTTGCGCACCTGCCAGGGCCATCATCCCTGTCAAATAATACCATGCGGGACACATTCGTTTTTTCTTCGCGCGCGCACGCCGTCGTCGTCGGCCGCGGGGCCCTGAATAGTAGCCACGGTCGTCCGCATGCCACGAAGTGAAGTGTCCGAACGTCATAGGGCGGGAAGCTGGGTGTGGGTGGTGGCGAAGAGTCGTTTGGAAATTTGGTAGAGCTTGAACCGGCCCCCCCACAAAGTGGGGGTATTGCCCGCCTCCTATGAAAACCCTGGCACTGGTGAGAACGGAGTGTCCCCACGTGCTAGTAATTGTTGTTGTTGTTGTTGAACATTATTAATTCTAAAGAATAATTATTGTTGGGCCCCCTGGTGCACGCCCCCCCTGCGCCGCCTAGGCCGCAGCTACATTTTCATCATTTTCGTGAGGAAGCCTCAGGTAATTCGATGTGATCAAGATCCGGTTGTTTTGTTGTAATCCGCTTTCCCTTGCAAAAAACACTATAAAATGACATTTCTTGTTCTAATATAATCAAATTTCAAGAATCCCTTGCAAAAAATAAGGTAAAGTGGACATTCGCGCGCGCAAGACGAAATCCTTCCAAAAGCTTAGTGTTCGGAGCGATTTTAACATAAAAACATCAAAAAACCAATGGTTTTTCAACAAAAAAATGTCAAAATCTCATCCCGCGCGCTCTTGCGGATTCGTAGGAAAACCAACACTTTTTAAACATTTCTGTCAAACGGGCTTTTGCGAGCAACTTTTTCGAACTTCTGCGACAACGGTTGCGCACCTGCCAGGGCCATCATCCCTGTCAAATAATACCATGCGGGACACATTCGTTTTTTCTTCGCGCGCGCACGCCGAAATCTCCAAAAACCATTGGGTTCTTAAGAATTTTAGCACCGCGCATCATAAAATCACACGAATCGCACCGTAGGTCCTCGTAGGTCCTCGAATGTACCCTACGGGTCATATGCAACTGATGCCTTTGCGTATTCCCACTTCGGCACAGGAATTTGATTAAAAAATGTGACGAACTCCTCTCTCTCTGTCTCTCTCTCTTTGTCTCTCTCTCTCCCGCTCTCTTCCTCTGTCTCGCCTTCTCTCTCTCAGTGTCTGTACCATGTCTAGCACTGGTAACAAAGGTATTTGTGTATCCCCACATCCGCCCAGGAATTCCACAAATGTGACCAACTATCTTGCGAGTACGTATCATCTCATGTGTGTCGTGCACACTATCAAATGTAACAGAGTTGTGTATTCCCATCATCCCAGGAACTTGACCCAAAAATGTGACCAACTCCGCTCTCTCTGTCTCTCTCTCTGTCTGCTCTCTGTCTCTCTCTCTGTCTCTCTGTATTATGTATTGTATGGCACAATTGCACCATGCTGGGCACATGCGCGCCCCGAATAAGTGACCAAGTTCTGTGGGTGTGTACCCCACGCCAGTGTAGTAGCCACGGTCGTCCGCACGCCACGAAGTGAAGTGTCCCAACGTCATAGGGCGGGAAGCTGGGTTTGGGTGGTCGCGAAGAGTCGTTTGGATATTTGGTAGAGCTTGTAATGCCCCCCCACGAAGTGGGGGTATTGCCTGGTGTCGTATGAAAACCCTGGCACTGGGGAGAACACCACGCGTTCGGGTAAAATGATTGTTGTTGTTGTTGTTGTTGTTGTTGAACTCTCATTTATGAAGAATAATTCTTGTTGATCCCCCCCGTCCGGTGCACATTGTTTTTTGTCAATTGAAGTGCCCTTCCCCGGGCTCGCACCCTGTTTCTTTACCAGGGAAAGGAAAAGTCTTGAGGGTCAAACTGTGTCGTTGGCCCCCGGTTTACAACAACAACGGCTCCCGCCTGAGACTTCCTCATAATTTAGCCAGGACCCCCGCTCCCGCCCGAGACTTCCTCGCGTTTTATTCCGGAATCGCGCTCTCGCTTGGGACTTCCCTAGAATTTGTTATCCCGGCGCTCTGGAGTCGCGCTCTCGCTGGAGACTTGCTTGCAATTTACAAAGAATAGCGCCCTTGCGCCGCGCTCCCGACACCCAGGCACCCAGGAGTCGCGCTCACGCTCAGGACTCCCCCACAGATTACATAGGAATCGGGATCTCGCTGCCCTTCGTGGCCCCGTTGCAGCCGTTCGTGGCCCCCTCGCTTTGTTTCGTGGCCCCGTTGCAGCCCGTCGTGGCCCCCTCGCTGCCCTTCCTGGCCCCGTTGCAGCCCCTCGTGGCCTCCTCGCTGCCCTCCGTGGCCCCGTTGCAGTTCTTCGTGGCCCCTCTCGCTTTGTTTCGTGGCCCCGTTGCAGCCCTTCATGGCCCCCTCGCTGCGTTCCGTGGCCCCGTCGCAGCCCTTCGTGGCCCGTTGCAGCCCTTCGTGGCCCCCTCGCTGCCCCTCGTGGCCCCGTTGCATCCCTTCGTGGCCCCCTCGCTGCCATTCGTGGCCCCATATATGTATGCCCTTCGTGGCCCCCGTTCGTTCGCGCCCGTGGTGCCCCCATATGCATCTGTCCTGCGTGGCCCAGTTGCTACCCCCAGTGGCCCCATCGTTGCCCTCTGTGGCCCCGCATTATCTGTCCTTCGTGGCCCCCGCTCCTTCGCGCTCTTCGTGGCCCCATACGCATTCCCTTCGTGTCCCCGCTGTTGCCCTTCGTGGCCTACTTCGTGTCCTTGTGGCCCTGCTGTCGTTCTCTTTCGCTCTTGCTTTCGCTCGTCGCCGTCGCCGTCGTCGTCGTCGTCGTCGTCGTCGTGGTCGGTCCCCTGTCCGTCCCTCTTGGGGTCGGGTCGACGGTCCGCGGCCACCCCGCCGACCAGCGCTGCCGCTGGCCAGGCCGACGGTCCGCGGCCGCCCCGCCGCTTGCTGGGGCCGGGCCTGCAGGAAGAAAGGTATACCCACCAAAAGGGGTTCGATCGAAAACGAAGAGGGCGGGTATCGAGGGTTTGGGAAACAGGCGTTATTGGACACTCGAGCAGATAAGGGCGAGCAGTCTTCAAACTATTGTTGTTGTTGTTGTTGTTGTTGTTGCTGTTGCTGTTGCTGTTGCTGTTGCTGTTGCTGTTGTTGTTGCTGTTGTTGTTGTTGTTGCTGTTGTTGTTGCTGCTGCTGGTGTTGTTGATGGTGTTGTTGCTGGTGTTGTTGTAGGTGTTACTCGTTGTTGTTGTTGTTGTTGTTGTTGTTGATGTTGCTGGTGTTGGTGTTGCTTTTTTGTTGGTGTTGTTGTTGTGATTGTTGTTGTGGCACTTGTTGTGATTGTTGTTGTTGTTGTTGTTGTGGTGGTGGTGGTGGTGGTGGTGGTGGTGGTGGTGGTGGTGGTGGTGGTGGTGGTTGTTGTTTTTGTTTTTTGTTGTCGCGTCCCACCCGCGACCTGCTTCGCGACCCACCCGCGACCCACCCCGCGACCCACCCGCGACCCACCCGCGACCCACCCCGCGACCCACCCGCGACCCACCCCACGACCCACCCGCGACCCACCCGCGGCCCACCCGCGACCCACCTCGCGACCCGCCCGCTATCCACCCCGAGACCCCCCTGGCGACCCACCCGCGGCCCACCCGCGAGCCACCCGCGAGCCACCCGCGACCCACCCCGCGACCCACCCGCGACCCACCCGCGACCCACCCGCGACACACCGCGACCCACCCGCGACCCAACCCGCGACCCACCCAAAATTTTGGCGCTTGCGGCGGGCTTCTTTTGCATGCGTTCCAGGTGGAGAACCTGCCACCCGCGACCCAAACCTCGTTCAGTGTACAAATCAAAATGTTCGGCGCCTGCGGCGGGCTGTTTTTGAATTCCTTCCAGGCGGAGGTGGAGAGCCCGCGACACACCCGCGACCCAAACTACGTTCACTGAACAAGCCAAAACTTCGGCGCCTGCGGCGGGTTTCTTTTGCATTCGCTTCAGGTGGGGAACCTGCGACCCAAGCCGCGTTTAGTGTACAAATCAACATTTTCGGCGCCTGCGGCGGGCTGTTTTTTGGATTCTTCCCAGGTGGAGGTGGAGAGCCCGCGACCCACCCGCGACCCAAACTACGTTCACTGAACAAGCCAAACATTCGGCGCCTACGGCAGTCCGCCGGCTCGACGCCCGCGTCGCCCGCGCCCGCTCCCTCACTCTTATCCGCAATTGCGGGGTATGCATACATGAATCCACGCTGGTTTCGAGAGTACGCATGGCGCACATGTTGGTATCACGCGGCAAGTCTCGCGGGTCGAGGGGCCGTGTTCATGTACATAGTTGGTGCGTACGTCCTTTTCGGATTCCTTTAGGGTACCGCTACCCCCTTGCCTCGGTGGCGCATGTGGGGGCCTCCTGGGAGGCTCCCCCCTCGTCGCCGGGCCCAGGGGGATGCGCCTCGGCATTCTGGTCGGGACGCTCTCTCTCCATCGGACTCTGGGCCGTCTCTGCGTGGGCCTTCGCCCGTCGCCAGCGCCGCCGTCGCCGTCGGCGACCCCGCCTGCCCCCGCGTGCGGCGGCGACGCGGCCTGCCCCTCCTTGATGGGCCTGATGTCCACCATCACCACCACAAGTTGGAGGGGGAAGACGGTGGAGGGCGAGGAGGAGGAGGAGGAGGAGGACGAAGAGGAGGAGGAGGAGGAGGAAGAGGAGGAGGACCCCCTCCCCCTGCAACTTATGGTGGTGGTGGTGGTGGTGGAAACAGGCCCATCAATTCCTGGGCCGAGCACCGCCACCGCAGTCGGGGCGCAGAGGCCGCGAGCCGGGGCTGGGCGGCACGCGCGAGGATTTCGTGGGCCGTTTGCGTTTCGTGTTCATTTTGCAGCAAGTGTGAACCGAGAACAAGACGACAACGAGAAGCACTGCTTGGGTCGATCCCTGCCCTGCGCCCTTCCTGTTGCTCTTGACCGCAGCAGCCGCCCGTGGGCCCCCGCAGGCCGCGCCCTCCGCTGGGGCCCCCCCGGCGGTGGCCGCGGGGTCGCCGGCGCCCTGCGCGCGCCCCCCGCGCCATGGCGGTGCGGGCCTCCCGCCGCGGCCCGCGCCCGCGGCATGGCGCTGGGGCCGGCCTGGCTCCCCCGCGGCCGGCCGGCCGACGGGCGGCGGGCGGCAGCCCAGTCCCCGAAGCAGTGGCGAAGCGTCTACCAAGCAGTGTT